TTCTACCCTCCCCTCCTCCACTTCCACTGCCCCGACCCCGCTCACCCGCCCGCACTATTAATGTCCCTTCCTCTCCACCAGCCTTCATTTCCTGTGGCTACTGTTACCTCTTCTGGCTTGCCTGACTCTGGCGTCGTTTTAGAGACCTTCATTTTTATATTTTTCGTATGGTAAAATGTAAATTCCTGCAATTTTTTTTTTCAATGAATTGCACCAAATAAAATGACTTGATTTTGTGTGCGTGTTGCACTTCCTAGGACTGATTTGTCTTCTCTTCAACTTGAAGCACAGGTTCCTTTACAGACTTTTCTAAAGTGCCCGGTGTCCTCCTGGAATGAGTCTGGTGCTCAGAAACCTGCAGCGGGCTGTCCCCCTGCGGAGAGTGCCGCTCCGCCAGAGGATGGAGATCGTCAGGAGTATTTTAGGAGTCCAGAAATTCGACCTGGGGATCATCTGTGTTGACAACAAGAGTATTCAGCACATCAACAGGATCTACAGAGAGAAAAACACCCCAACTGATGTGCTTTCTTTTCCCTTTCATGAGGTAAAAAGTATTTTCCTCCTCGCCTTGTCTAGCCTACCATTCAGTGTAAATTTCCTGTTAATTACACTACAGACATGATTTTTTAGTTTTATTTTGAAAACTTTCAAAATATACACGAGAGTAGAGATCAACCCTATTGATCAATGCCCATTTCTCCCCTTTCCCCACCTAATGGGGTCAGTGAATTAGCAGGGTTTTTTTGTTTGTATATTTATTTTCTTCAAAGAGTAAGCAAGAGGGAGAGAGAGATAGAAACATCATTCAATGATGAGAATCATTGATTGGCTGCCTCCATCAGGTCCCCTACTGGGGATTGAGCCTGAAACCCAGGCATGTGCCCTTGGCCGGAATCAAACCTGGGACCCTTCAGTCCGCAGGCCAGCGCTCTATCCACTGAGCCAAACCAGCTAGGGCTGAATTAGCAGTTTTGAGTGTGAATCAATAATGAATATGTATGGTTAAAAATTAAATAACACTGAATAAAAGAAGAGACTTGTGTAAATATTTTCTACAAACTTGTGATAGCTGTCAGATCACTCTCAGTTACGCAAATGAGTCATTCTGGGCTTTACACGGGTTAGTAGCAGCATAAATTAGAAAGCAGCTTGGCAACAGACTTCAGTCCACTAGTGTCACACCTACAGAAATAAACCAAAGAAGGAAGACTATAAAATATTAAATGCTTAATGTAAAAATGCATTAAAATGTTCACTTACTAAGTATCACATGATCTCACTCATTTGTGGAATATAATGAACAATGTAAACTGATGAACAAAAATAGATTCAGAGACATAAAAGCATCGAACAGACCATCAAACCTCAGAGGGAAGGCAGGGGAGGATGAAAGAGGGGTAATAGATCAACCAAAGGACTTGTATACATGCTTATGCATAACCAATGGACACAGACAGTGGGGTGGTGAGGGCATATGCAGGGGGGTGGGAGCAGCCAGGAAGAGGTCAATGGGGGGAAAGGGAGACGTGTAAAACTTTCAACAATAAAGAATTTAAATTTTGTAAAAGGTTCACTTATTTTCCTTGATAGAAAAAATAGCCATTAACAATACCAAGTAAATATGCAGCCATAGGTTACTGGCTTGCTGTCAACTGAATGGACTAGTGCTTATGGTCTTTAAATAAGAAAATGTGAAAGGCTATTTAGGACAAAATACCAGGAGGAAAGAACAGAAGTATAAAATTATATCAATGTGGTGATTTAACTCCTAGACGTAATCTGTGTGACTGTGCATTGGGAAGGACGAAAGAGATGGAAAGAAAATCACTGGACCAGGTGGAAACATCTTAAGTCACTTGTGTGTAGTGGCTTTGTGGTCCCCCGTCCCCGCTCCGGACTAGTCAGGGGACAGTGCCTTCCAGAATGAAATCTGTAGGCCTGTCGTCAGGTTAGTGTTCCTGAGGTCCTGTTCTCACAATCTGTTTCCTCATTTGCAGAATCTGAAAGCAGGTGAAATCCCCCAGCCGGATTTTCCGGATGACTATAATCTGGGGGACATTTTCCTAGGAGTGGAGTATATCTTCCAGCAGTGCAAAGAAAATGAAGACTACTGTGACATCCTGACTGTGAGTAGGAATGCTGAAATGACAGGTTCTGCCTAGCAAAAGAAATACCGTGTCCTTAACCCAGGCCATAAAGAGGTTGGCGACGTGCCACCTGTGTCCACACTATTGCCCACGTGAAGAACAAGGGTTATGGAGGGAGACCCACAGAGAGGGAGATCCACGGAGGGGAAGGTGGCGGAGTGGGATCTGCATGCCCTGTGGCAGTGCCAGGGGTGGGAAGAGGACAGGGAGTTTCTCCCTAACTGAGATGTGAGATAAGGGACACTCCCAGTAGTGACCCTGTTTTAGCTTTTACCGTGCGCTCAGCAGGCTGTGTAGTTAATGTAGGCTTGCTGAATAAGCTTCTTAGGAAACTGCCCAAAGTGGACAAAATTCTAGCATCCAGGGCCTTCCAGATCTGTCCTCAGCTTATTATATTAAAAAAAAAAAAAAGGACAGGGGGAGTGTTCTGAAAGTATTGAGTGTGATAGAGTCATATTTTAACTTCCCCAAGGATTCGATTGAGGGGTCTTCCTACCTAGTGCTTCCATGTGAGACCCAGAGTGAGCAGGTTTTGGTGGGGGAAGAGGAGGTTTCCCTTTCTTCCTGAGCATCAGGAAACACAGTGTAGTCAGGACTTGTCAGCAGGGTCCAGCTCTGGGATCTCTATGGCTGGCAGTGGTGCACCCCAGGGGGAGGGTGGGCATGATCGAGGGTGCAATTGTGGAAATCTGATTTCACTTCCCGGCACCTCCTGAGGGTTCTGTATCGAAGTAGAGGGCCATCCCACCACTCCTGGGACCCTCATCCCCTGTCACAGGACCAGCCAAGCCACTCTCCACCCTCCTGGCTGCCAACTGCACGTAGGCACCTTCTAATAGCCCTGGGTACCCTCCAACGACCACCTTATCCTCCACATCTCACCACTCCTCCGACCCTTCCCTCTGCCCTGAAAAGCAGGTGTCTCCTCAGGAAATAATCACGGACCCTCCCTACCCCAGAGATCCTGGTCTTCACATCCCTGACAGGGCCCTGGTCTACCTGATCTTTTCTGAACCCCACCCCTGTTCTCATCGCCCACTCACACCCTTGGTGCTGCTGCCACCGACTCCCAAAGCCCTGCCTGGGCCCAGAGGAGGGTTCCTAACCTCCCACCGGATGTGAGCTAAGCTCTCCCTGCCTTCCTCCTCCCCTGGCTCCTGGCTTGGTCATGGTCAGCCCCTGAGGCAAGCTTTTTAATTGTTCAACAGGTGACTGCCACTCATGGGCTCTGTCATCTACTGGGCTTCACACATGACACAGAGGCCACATGGCAGAAGGTAGGTGCCATCCCCCACCAGCCAGGGCTGCCCGGCCTGCCCCTTGCAGTTGATGAAAACCAAACTTGGAAAAAAACAGTAAAATAAGGAATTTTATACACATTTACTTTATTAAAAAAGACAATGTTTGTTTTAAATATTGGGCTCCCCAAATGCTGTTAACTGTATTATTAACTCACTATTGAAAGTCTGAGCAGAGAGACTGAATTCTAAAAATTCTATGAAATTCTGATGGCTTAAAGTTACAAAATCTTCGTGAGAGAAACTGTGATGCTATTTATCAGTTGCGAACAGGATTTAAAATGTGCAGGCGTCTGATAGAGACCTATTGTGTAAAGTTATGGAGCAGTTGGTTTCCTCGAAGGGGGCCAATGTTTACCCACTTGTAAAGGTCCATGTTGGTATACAAACCATATTGTGTTTAATAAACTCAAACTATATTTGTAGTCAAATAGTCAGATTCTCTGAAAGGCATAAGAAGCTTTTTCATTAACAAAAGAAGTCCCTGACACACGTCGTCTCCCCCGGCCATCCTAGGCTTGGGCCACACCAGCCTCACCCTGGCTCCACCTCCCCTTCCTGTCAGATGCCGGCCTTACTGTGGCCACTTCCTCCTCAGCCCTCCACCTCTACATCCAGCAGATCTAAGTCTCAGCATGTGCAGTCTGCCAGGGACCCCAGACCTCCGAGCCCTGACCACCCTTCCCCCCAGAGGAGCCATCTGCACCCCCTCCCTCCCCTGTGTCCTGCGCCTGTTCTCCTGTGACCCCAGGCAGGCTCTCCTCTTTCCTCCCCAAGATCACCCCCTCTGCCCCAGCCCACAGCCTCTCCTGCCCGTCTCCATCGTTCACTCTGCAGGCAGCATTTTGGCACTCCCTGTGCACAGGTGCCGGGCACCCATGAGCAGAACCTTGAGGGAAGCCCTATGGCCAAGGCTCCCCATGCCATAACCGTGGACACGGACCTCAGGGAGGGATTTGCAGAAGAGGGAACCCTGGGCCCAGCCAAGGACTCCCCAGGGCCTGAGCAGCCAGGCCAGCTGGGCAAGTCCAGGGTTGGTTTTCGTTCCTTCGTTGCAGATGTACCAGAAGGAGAAGCAGGTTCTCGAGGAGCTGAGCCGGCGCACTGGGGCCAGGCTCCAGCCCCTGAGCAGGGACCTCTTCTGATGAGCACAGCCCATGACGCAGGTAGTACCTGAGGGACCCTCCAGGGCACAGGGACCCCTCCCCGTGGGTCCCGAGGGTCAGGGGCTTCCCCAGACGGAGGGCTGGTCAATGCCCGAGCCGGGGCTAAATTCCATGAGTGGAACTATTCCTTAAAGTACAGGAGAAATGTCCATTCATGTCTTGACTTAGAACACAGCAGACATGTTTTCAGTATTGTAAATAGGACAGTTCTAAACTCTTAGTGCATCTAACCTGTCCCTCCCTGGGTTTCTGCCTTTGGTAATGAAACCTTTCTCTCTCTCACCTCTGTAGCCACCCAGGAGGATGAAACAAGCGGCCTGGGGGCCTTTATGTGGGAGCAGATGGTGGACGGGACAGGCACCCAGCCAGCCAGCCAGCCAGCCAGCCAGCTGGGGCCTCCATCACCTGAACCTGTCAAGTCAGGATCCTGACCACACGCAGGGAGTTCCAAGAGGTCATGGCAGTAACACAGCCTCTCAGATCCTTTTTGGCCAGAACAACCAGGGATGCTGCAAGTCTGAGAATTTGGTTTCCCCTATGAGTCTATGTTAGAAACATGAAAACCAGTGTGTTAGAAACACATTTCCCACTGGATTTGTGTCCTGTCTCCGCCTGCACTTCCCCCAGCTCTTGGGGATAAGGGCTTGAGCCTGTGCTATCCCTGAGTCACTGTTGGCTGCGCATGGCCTGCTTGTAATCACAAAGCTCTTGGCTCCGAAATCCTTTTTAAGAGACTGAAAGGGTCCTGAGACCTGCTGGTCTTGTCCCTCCATGTGCCCTCATGAGCACCAGGTACCCCCAAGGGGCTTTCCACGTGACTCCCATGTGACCCCATGTGATTCCCCCTGCTCAGGAGGTGTACTGAACTGAGTTTTTCCAGTTTACCACATCACCCAAACACAGTGGACTTGTCAGATGTCTTCCCTCTGTTAATAATGTTGAGAAATAAAACCGAAGCCATGTTAGAAAAAATAATGTGAAAATAGGAAATATGGCCAGACCTTTAATTGGTGCATTTAACAAGAGACTGGGCTGTGGGACGGTTCGGCCCCGACGTCAGCCCAGAGGGGACCTGCGTGCAGCAAAGCGGGCATCGTGCTTCCTCCGACATCCTCCTGGAGACCCGGGGGTGCAAAGATAGGGCTCCTGCTGGTGAACCTAGGGAACCTGCTGATGTACCCCAAATGGGGCCATGAAAGCATGCTGCTACTCAAAAATGACATTTACATGAAAACTATTAAAAAGCAGAGAACATACTAATCCCACCAAGGGAAAAGAGTAACAAGGAGTACAGAAAGAGTACAGGTAACAGCCTAGCGATGTGGGTCAGTGCTTGAACATCAGCCGATGAACCCAGAGGTCACCGGTTTGATTCCTGGTCAGGGCACATGCCTGGGTGCAGCTGTGCAGGAGGCAGCCAATCGATGTTTCTGTCTTTCTATCCCACTCTCTTTCTCTCTCAAATCAATAAAAACATATTTTTTAAAAAGAGTAAAGGTACCGGATTCATCAGGTGAGAAACCTAACAGAACCAGAAGGGCCTCGGGCCCAGCCCCCTCTCCAGGAGCCGTGTGCAGTTCTGCGGGTTTATTCGCAGGAGAAAGGCCGGGCTAGCAGGTGGGTCTACCTGTCACCAGTGCTTCCTCCCAGGACAGCACATCTCCGTCTGCAGCAGCTGCTTTCCTCCCTCGCCTCTGCGCTGCTTCCCATGGGAAGGTTTATATTCTTATGTGGCTACATCTATGCTATGGGTCTTCTTCCTGTGGCTCCTGGGCATCCTTTCTGACAACACCCCTGTGTTTCCTTGTGATCTCAGCGGCCAGGGACCACTGTCAGGCTTCCACCTGGTTTTTCTGACCACGTCCCTGAGGGAAGAGGGACCGTGAGGCTCACCAGGCAGGTATTGGGGGCTCACTGGCCCGGAGCCGGGGCGGGTGCAGGCAGGAAACCGTCAGGCGCAGCCCTAGAGGAAAGGCAGGAGTCTGGGTGTCGTTACTGCCCCACAGGGCTCACAGGTGCACGGGGCAGGTGAGTTTCGCTCTGGGGATCAGGAGGGGGCCCTTGCAGCCATGCTTGGACTGGACATACCCAGGATCATCTGGATTAGACAAATGACCCAAGCTTCCCCAGGAGGTGGCCGTGGGGTGGGGGTGGGGGTGAGGCTCCATGGTCCCACTGTGTCCCTCAGGAGATGGCAGGGCCTTTCTGGGCCCTTTCCCAATTCCCTCTGCAGCCTAGGAACCTGACAGAGACCTACGTCCACTGTCTTCTCAGTAGGGGTGGGGAAGGGCAACGGGGTTCGGGGATCCTTACGTGCTAAGGGCAGCGGCAGAGGGGGCGGCCAAGTGACGCATGGTGGGCAGGAAGCTGGCGGCAGGTGGGAGGGCGGTGGCGGAGACCACGGAGGGCCACATGGAGTAAGCCACGGGTGAGCCAGGTGCGGCTTGCAGCGGGGCTGGGGGCGCATAGTGGTGGTGATGGTGCACGGAAGGCGGCTTCTGCCTCTCAGCTCGCAGCCCGGTGGGGTGAGGCCACTGCACAAACAGCAGCTCATTTCAACTGGGACCTGCTGCTTCAGGCACCCTCTTCCCCCACCCCCACTCGCGTTCCTGACTTAGGGTGGCCTCAGAGCCCAGGAAGGGAAGGGAAGGGAGGGAGAAAATGGGGGGGAGGGGGCGCGGAGAACTCATCCCAAGGAAGCAGCTTTCTGGGCCTCAAACTGCACAACTCATTCCTCATCTGAGGGGGATGGGGGAGAACTGTGTGATTTCACGGCCAGATTACAGGCCCCCGGAGCTAAAAATGTGCTTTTCAGAGTTACACAGATACACAATGTCCAGAAGTGTTTATTTGGGTGGCGTCCTTTACCTGGTGTCTGCTCCAGGCTGAGCCTACCTGCAGGGTGGCTTGCGGTCCCCTGGAGGAAGCAGAGGCCATTGGGGGCACGGCCTGGAGCATCAGGCTCTGCATGATGACCTGGTGCATCTGTGCGTTCTGCAGCAGCATCACCTCCACCATGTCTAAAAGGGCGGGGAGGAGGGGCTCGGTCACACACAGGGGCTCGCCCGACCGTCAGGGGTCTCACCCGAGAACAAAGCTTTAGAGCAGCCTATTTGTTAAAATAGGTGTAGAGTGTTCCAGGTATCTGTTCCTCCTCCTGCAATGGGGGTGGGGGGTAGTGGGGGAGGGAGAGTCACATTCCCAGACCTGAAATTTCCAGGTCAGAGGGTGTGTATGCTATAAAGTGTGTGGACGGTGTCCAGTTGGGCTCCTAGGAGGTGGCTCCTCTTGCCTTCCTGCTGGCAGATTTCTCAAGCCCATGGAGACTGCATGGTGGCCCCTGACCTCAGAACATGGCCTTGTTTGGAAAAAGGGTCTTTGCAGATGTAATGAAGGATCTTGAGGTGACATCACTGTGGATTATCCAGTTGGGGCCCGAGTCCAAGGGCAAGTGTGTTTATAAGAGACAGGCAGAGGGAGATGGAGACCAAAGGGGAGCACAGACACGGACAGAGACGAGCGATTGAGCTACAGCCCAGGACACCTGGACTGAAGCATGTGGTCCCTCCTTTGGAAAGCTGCTGTTTGAACTACTCTGTTATTCTTTTCGATCAGAATTGAACCTGGGATCCTTCGGTCCGCAGGCTGACACTCTATCCAGTGAGCCAAACCGGTTAGGGCTACTCTGTTATTCTTTGTTTCTTATTCTGTAGGTCAACTCTGTTATTTTTAGAGTGTAACGTAACTTTGTTTTTAGCTTCAATAATAGAAAAGATAAACTTAACTGTCTGACCTTGCAAGCTAGCCATCTAAAGGGACTGATACGCTGATACTGATGATAATTCCCATTCTCATGCCAAGTGTTTGTATCCAAGGTTACAGGTGTCTGTATAGATATGGCAGGGGTTTGCTAGATATGGTATATACTCAAGGTTACACGCTGTCTACAAAAATAACTTACACAAAGAACTAGAAGGATATAAAAAGAAATTCTCCCTCCTATGTTTGTTCGGAATTTGACAGAGGTAATCTGCTCTGAACCTGCACAATAAAGATGACTCCTAACTAATTGGCTCATTAAGGCGTCTGTCCAGCTTGCTGATTTGCGATACAGCAGAGCCACCGCTGGAAGAAGCAGGAGGACCCTCCCTGGAGGGAGGATGGCCCTGTGACCCCTGGATTCTGGCCTCCGGACTGTGACTGGATTTCTGTGGTTTCCAGCCACCTGGCTTGTGGTGCTTTGTTACAGCAGCTCCGGGATATATTCACCAACTCTGGATGCTATGAAACGTAAATTTTGTCGGCACAAGAGGTAAACATGGGTTGTTTCCACAGCAGCTCGGTCCAGGAAATTAGGCATTTCCTCCAGGCTCTGTCAGACTCACCAAAGGACGGCAGGTCCCCTAGGACCATTCATACTCCCAGGCAAACGAACAGGAGCCTGGAGGCCCAGGGGCAGGGGCTCAACAGGACACAGGACCCCAGCCAGTAGCCTTCCCACTCCAACGGAAACTCTCCCTGGGTCCCCCGTGGGCCAGCCCACCCTGCAGATTTGGGACTAACCAGGTCTCCATAATCACACAGGCCAATTCCTTAAAACACACCTTTCTCTCTGTATACACATCCTATTTTTCTGTTTCTCTGCAGAGCCCTGACTAACAGATTTTGCCCAGGGTTGGGGCACTGTGGGAGGTGCAGACGCAGAGCCAGGTTCCTGCAGCAGCACAGCTGTGGGAACTCTGACCCTGAATGATAAGCAGTTGGAGAGGCTGGCTGGCGGCCCCATCTGGGAAGGGCTCTTGAACTGGGCTGGGGCAGACCCCACCCACCAGCAGCAGTTCAAGCCTCTGAGGGGACACTTCCCAGTCAGGCCTCCAGGACTCCCACTGATAGAGTCAGGAGTGAAAAGATTAGATTACACAGGAGCGAGCGCAGAAATGGACACATCCTGTTCGCTGAAGGGACGCTTCCTGACAGAGGGACACGGTAGTGCAATGGGAGAGCCTTCAGTCAAGGGCACAGGTTCAGACTGATGCCACGGCAAAAAGAAAATAGTGTTGATCCCTAACTCATAGCACACACACAGCCAGTCCAGAGGGATCGTGGATCTGAATGTGAAACGTAAACAGCCATGTGAGACAATATGACCTTGAGCAGGTAAAAACTTCAAACAGGACACCCAAGGCACTAACCATAAAGGAAAGAGCCCGAACACCTATTAGTAAAGTTAAGAACTTCACCTGAAGACATTAAGAGAGAAAGGGCAGGCCACAAAAGGGCTTAATATTTGTAATACATATATCAAAAAAGGACCCGTTGTAGCATATAAAGAGTTCCTATAGCCCTGTTTGGCTCAGTGGACAGAGCGTCGGCCTGCAGACTGAAAGGTCACAGGTTCAATTCCCGGTCAAGAGCATGTACCTTGGTTGCAGGCACATCCCCAGTGGGAGGTGTGCAGGAGGCAGCTGATTGATGTTTCTAGCTCTCTATCCCTCTCCCTTCCTATCTGGAAAAAAAAATCAATAAAATATATTAAAAAAAAAGAATTCCTATAAATCAATGAGAGGCAAGCAACCTGAAAGAAAAGTGGGCAAAATACTTAAATGGGCACTTCACACCAACGGGTATCAAATGGCCAATAACTATGGAGTGTCCCCAAAAATGTATGCACACAATTTGAATAATTATAAAGGCAAAGTTTATTAAAATACATTTCACTTGCCAAATTGAGCAGTTAAAGTGTGTATACATTTGGGGGGGACATCCTGTATATAAAAGGTGAAACGTAAATTAAGCCCAGAATGACCTACTACTCATGCCCAACAGATTGGCAAAAATGGAAAAAAAAATCTGAAAACACGGAGTGTTGGTGAATTGCTGCAGGCAACTGAAACTCTCCTTCCTTTCTGTGGCATATACATGGGAGTCACCACTTGGGAAGACTGCCCGGCAGTGTTTCCTGATTGGGCCACCTCCTTCCCCAGCACGTGCCCCACACGCATGTCCCGTCACCGGAAGACAGCAACCTCCAGAGCAGCACTGCTGTGGTAGCCCCCGCAGGAAAGAAATGGAACATCCAACCCCAAAAAGAATGCACCCAGTCCTTGCCAGTGTGACTTGACTGGGTGTCGTCCCATGTACAGAAAGGTTGGCGGTTCGATTCCCAGTCAGGGCACATGCCCGACCCTCGGTAGGGGGCCTGCAGAAAATAGCCAATTAAGGTTTCTCTCTCTCTCTCCCGCCCGTTTCCTCTCTCTCTAAAAATCAATTTAAAAATATATATATATATTTTTAAAAATGCAGCTCTACCCGGTTTGGCTCAGTGGATAGAGTGTCGGCCTGCGGACTGAAAGGTCCCGGGTTCAATTCCAGTCTAGGTTTTGGGCTCGATCCCCAGTAGGGTGCATGCAGGAGGCAGTCAATAAATGATTCTCTCTCATCATTGATGTTTCCATCTCTCTCCCTCTCCCTCCCTCCCTCTCTGAAATCAATAAAATATATTTTAAAATAATAATAAATAAAATAAAAAAAAGAACGCACCCACAATTTGTGAGATACTGTGATTGGTTAGTGCAGTGGGCTGAACAATGGCCCCAGCGATGTCCACTTTCTAATCCCCAGAGCCTGTGATGGTGTTTCATTACAGGGCAAAAGGGACCTTGCAGATGTGATTAACTTAAGACTCTTGAGATAGAGTGAAAGTAACCCAAGTGTCCACAGATGGATGAAGGGATGAGCAAGATGTGGGCATGAGTAGCAGCTCATTCTGGTTTTATTCTGCCTTGAAAAGGAAGGATATTCCGACAAGCACGACAGCACAGATAAACCTTGAGGACATTACGCCAGTGACATAAGCCAGCCACAAAAGGAATCGCACATGCTGTGTGATTCCATTTTACATAAGGTTCCTAACAGATTCAGCTTCAGAGACACAGAAATTAGATGGTGGGTGCCAGGGGCTGGGGGAGGGGAATGTGAGTTAGTGTTCACTGGGACAGAGTTTTAGTTTGGGAAGATGAGAAAGTTCTAAAGATCTGTTGCATAACAATGAACATCGTTAACACCACTTAAACATAGTTAAGATGGTAAATTTTATGCTTTGTGTTTTTTAGCACAATTTTTATGTATTTACTAAAAATACTAGAGGCCCGGTGCACAAAATTCACGAATCGATGGGATCCCTAGGCCTGGCCTGTGATCAGGGCTGGGCTGATCAGGGCCTGAAGGCCTGGGGCGGGGAGCAGGGGGGAAGTGTAGGGAGAGTAGGCAACGGGACACAGGCGCAGAAGGACGAGCGCCTGATACCGATGCCACCACTGTGCAGTTCCCTGCCTCCCCCACTTCTCCTTCCCTTGCCGCTGTGCCACCACCGTGGCAAGTGGTTGCAGGCCAAGCCCCCTGGGAAAGGGGCCGTGTCTGCCGCCACCCACCTCTGGTTCCCTGTCCCAGCCTGGGGCTGTGCCCCAATCAGGCAATCGGGGCCTGCTGGCCCAGGGGGGCAGGGTGGGGGGAATCCCAACCTGTTCCACCATCCTGCTGTGGCCAATGCCCACCATGTTCTGCACTCTGCCACCTGCTGCCGACGCCTCCCATGTTCCGCACACACCCCTGGTGGTCAGTGCACATCATAGTGACGGGTTGGTCCCATCATTTGGTCATAATGGTCGCTTAAGCTTTTATGTATATATAGATTTTTTTTTAATTGATTTCAGAGAGGAAGATTTTTTTTTAATTGATTTCAGAGAGGAAGGGAGAGGGAAAGGGAGAAGAAACATCCATTGGCTGCCTCCTGCATGCCCTCTGCTGGGGATCAAGCCTGCAACCTGGGCATGTGCCTGACTGGGAACAGAACTGGTGACCCCTTGGTGCATGGATCAACACTCAACCACTGAGCCACACCATTCGGGCAAGTCCTCTTTTTTTTATATCTTTTCTTCACTCGGCAATATCCATCATGGAAACATTTCTCAGAGTTAAAGCCATTTTCATGTTGGTAACGGGTGACTTTAGTTGAGTAGCCAGAAGCTGACTCTAAATGACTATCCTGCTTACAAAATAGTTTCCCTTTCAGTAGAGAATTTCATAAGCCCACCACAATATTAATATCGAACACTTACCTTCCTTAATACTTCCAGACCTTTGAGCTGGGAAGGCCTGGGGAGGGGGAATCTGTGCAATGAGTGGCTGCTGAGGTAGCTGCTGAATGATGGTGGGAGGAGCCTGGGGGACCTAGGAAGAACCAGGTGACTAGCTACTGAATGCGTCCTTGGAGAGAGTATACTACAGCACCCACCTATCCACACACTCACCCATGCATCTACCCACCCACCCACCCATCCACACACCTGTCCACCTATCCACTCACCCACCCACTCTCTCACCTACCCACTCACCTACTCACCCATGCATCTACCGAGTCATCCAACCATCCATCAACCTGTCCATCTACTTATCTATCCATCCATCCAAGGGGAACTTTGCTGATTAACCCTACAGGTTGAATTGATGGCTGAACAGATAATCATGTGAGTATGGGCATTAGCTTACGATATGGTGTCTTATGGATTGAATGTTTGTGTAAAACACCCCCTTCCTTGCAATTTATGTGTTGAAATTAAGGTCTGAAGCTTCTCCTGGTCATTTTGAAGTTTTGAAAAAAGTTAAAACACTTCTTCCCCTAATTCAGGGTCCTTCTGATGCCAAATTTCCCTAATACGTCTACTCCTAGAGTGAAAGTTAGGACCTGGGACCCAGCCTTCCATCTGTAATGAGGGGACAAGACCACAATCCCCAAAGCCCTGTCTTAGGGCACCTGCGAGGATGCCTGAGATGAGCCCCTGATGTCCTTGTGAGTGTCTGGGTGTGGTGAGTGCACCACTGTGGGCTTTCGGCCAAACAACCTCCTCAGAGCACCCTCACAGGGCTGCTGAGCTTGCCGGAGATGGGAGGTCTCCGTGGGCACAGAGCCTTCCCACAGGGGTTCTGCCCCTGGCTGCACCAGGAGGAAGACCTACCGAGTGTTGGATGACCCGAGGCAGCTCCAGGGGCGGCGGGGGTGAGGAGGCGGCAGGGTAGATGCCAGGGGGCACCTCTGTTGGCAGCGCTGACCCCCGGGCTCCCCTGCTGGGCCCTCTCCAGGAGTGGTCGTGGGCGCGGGAGAGCTCTTCCAGGAGTTGCTGTTCCTGCAACGCCAACCAGAGACTGCTGTTCAGAGGGGCAGCCACCAAACCTGGGGTGGGAGGTGTGCCCTGGGCTCTTCCCTGGTGGGCGGCCCGTGTGGGACACCTGGAGTCTCCATCACTGCCCTGCAGGGCTTCCCTAGGATGGAGCCAGGCCTGAACGCAGGGCCTGAGAACATTGCTTCTTTTAAAATTTACCAAATCATATGAACTAGTTTCTGGTTCTGGCTGCCTCCGCGTCCCCGTCCCCTTCGCTACAGGTGATACGCTACATTTATCGTAACTATTTGTGTGGACTTGGAGTGCTCCTTCCTGCTGCTGGGGGACGGAGTTGGGACCAGCCTCCGGGCTTCCACTTCCTGTAGGAAGTGGGCCCTTTACTCAGCATCTCCAGCTGGGATAATGTACCACCAGAGCAGGTGCCTAGCCAATCGCATGCTTGTCAGAGCCCAGACCACAGACAGAGCTGTTCCCAGTGCCCCAGGCGTGAAATCTCAGCTGCTCGCAGCTCACCAGCTGCCCATCCACAAATCACAAACCTCAGAGAACTGGCCCCGAGTCCAGAAAGACATGATAACCCCCATTCCCACCTCACACACCCCACTCCCATCCTCCAGCCCCCCCCGCCCCCCACTCCCCACCCGGGTCTGAGTGTGGTGGCCAGTTGTTTCAGCCACGGACAGCTTGGGCCCAGGCTGCTGCGACCTACCCAGAGTCTCTGCCGAAGGTCCTTCCTCCTCCTCAGGGCGCTCTGCAGGGCTGCCTCAGGCCTGTCCTCATGTCCTGGAGAGAACGTGCAGACCCATCAGGACACCTCAGCCTCATCCGCCAAGACCTGGGGGTGACCTGGGCCCGTTTTCTCATGTGGAAAATGGGGATGAGGGATGTCCCTGTCCTGGGGCTTACAGGTAAAGGTTATAGGATGGGATGTGAGGGTGCACTCAGCAGAGCACCTGGTGTGTGTGTGTGTGTGTAATTGTGCCTGCCTGTGTGCATGCGTGTGTGAGTGCATGTGAGTGTGGTATGTGTGAGTGTGTGCGTGTGTGTGTGAGTGTGTGTGTGTAACTGTGCCTGCCTGTGTGCATGCGTGTGTGAGTGCATGTGAGTGTGGTATGTGAGAGTGTGTGCGTGTGTGTGTGTGTGTGAGAGAGAGTGTTGTAAAGATAAAACAAACCTTCAGCCCTGGATGTAAGGAGCAGCTTAAGCACAGCCTTGCCAGTGACAGAAGAGGGAGGGACCTGAGCAGAAGGTGGGTCTGGCGCCTGCCCAAAGGGCTCCGAACAGCCCAGCCCTTACCTGGCACCAGGTGGGGGTCCTCGGAATCCCCTTCCACATCCTCACGCTCCTGCTCCAGTTTCTGTGAGGAAGAGACCGTGGCAGGGTCCGGTTCCCGGCACAGGCTCTGTGAGCGGGGCACAGGCTGGCGTGGGGCACCTGCCTGTGCTTTGATGCCCCAGATGAAGGGGACGGGGCAGGAAGTGCTGGGTGCTAGAGGGTGGGACAGGCGGCAGGGTCATCATCCTCTCTTAGGGGCGAGTGTGTCACACTCTCCACACATGCACACATTCCTCCTTGGACTCTGAGGGTGGATGCTCTGATCTGTGCGGCCCCCTCCAGACAGCTTTCTGAAGAGCCAGACCCAGGCTAGCTCTGTGTCCCTGACCACCCTGACTGCCCACCTGGGCCAGTCCTGGGGTAACCCCTGCAAGGCAGCCCATGGGCCAGCAGATGGGGGGGCGTGTACAGGGCTGCAAGGTCAGCAGAGAGGAACAAAGCAGGTAGGGAGATGAGGAGCTGCTGTGCTGGGCAGTCTCTGAGGCTCATGCAGACTAGCAGAGGGTAAGAAGTCTGGTGTGACAACAGGTCCCCCAGTCCCTGTGCCCAGGCCCAGACCAGGGGGCTGTGGGTCCTACAACAGGTGGGTCTCTGTCTTCCCTTAAACCAGGGTGGGGAATGTCTAGCCCGAGGGCCGTATAAGGCCTGCAAAATCAAGTGGTCTGCCCCTGCCAAGGCAACCACAAGTGAGACTTGAAATTCAATAAATCCAGGAGCTTTTCTCATAGCAACATAAACTGATAGTAAGCGAATGATGATGTTATAAATATCCAAATGGCCCTTGGCAGATAAAAGCCCCCCCCCCCACCTTAAACACTGAAGCCCAGAGCATCCTCAGGGGACCTTTGTGGGGCCCTGGAAGCGTCGGCCGCAGGTGTGTGCCTGTGTCCTGGCTGCGGAAACTGCCAGAAGAACCTACTTGGTTCTGTATGAATGCAAAGAAGAAAACTCAAGAAACCACAGTCCATTACAAGGCTAAAATCCACTGGGGGGAAAAAAGAACAACAAAAAAAGAAAAATAAATAAAATCCACAGGAGAGGGTTTTGCTGGGAAGCAGTAGCACTCACAAGATTATTTTACCTTTTAAAGTTGCACTCCTATACGCAGGTGTTAAAAAGATGTCTTACCTTCTCCAAGAGTTTCAGGGTTAGTCGGGCCATTTGATCTGCCACAGTGGCATCCTGCATCCCAGGACCGTGGGAGAGGGGACACCGCAGGCCCCTCCCTCCCTGGTTGCCAGTTCCCTGCAGGAAAGCACAGCTCAGCCAGCTGGAGAGAAGCAGCCTCAGCCCTGCTGTCGATGAAGGATTGTGGAGACTGGCCTCTGCCAGGGAGCTGGCGGGCCCCACATCTCCCAGGACTGCAGCCAACACTGGCATCGCCAAGGCAGTTGCTAGACGCAGCAGACAGGGAGGCCCCAGGTTGCCAGGTTTTCGTGGAGAGTCTTTCCCAGGCCCCGCCCACTCCTCGCCCAGGGGTTGCTGCAAACACTACCATTCCCAGGTGTGGCCAGGAAAGCTCCTTGGGAGAGCAAACGTGGGCAGCAGCTGGGGCCCGAGGGGCAGAGCAGGGTCCTGGCGGGAGGACAGTCCCAGCCCCACCCTCATGACAGAGCCCAGAAGAGGGTGAGGCTGTGGGGAGGGTTCAGCCATACCCACCTACCCTTCATTCAGTAGCCTGCACTCTCCCTCCATTATGACCTCCAGGAGGCCAGCAGGCCCCTGGCTGCTCCTAGGCCCCCTCCGGGCAAGACAAAGCCCCTGCACCAGCTACCTGAGGGTTTCAGGAAATTCTGGGCTGCAGAGGGGGCGGCACCAAGGAGCTGGCCAAAGAACCCCATAGGGGCTCCCTGGTTTGTCCACCTCACAGGCCAGCTGGCTCCTCAAGGGACACAGGCTGGGCCCCCATCCCACTGGGCAGGACATGAATCTAGTGCTGGGACTGCCAGGAGGGGACCCGGCCAAGGCAGGGATGGGCGTCCTGGTAGCTATGTGGAGGGGACATCTGGGGCAGGCGTGAGTGGGAGGCTCTGACCAGCAGGGGAGGCCTTAGTAGTCAGTGTGGTAGAGAGGGCAGGGCTCCATGGAACAGAGGGAGTGGTGCTTGGTCCCCTTGGCTTTCCATTTCAGGTTTACAAATGGGCCAACCGGACTGATGAAGAGATAGAACAGATTTGAAATGGGAGCGGTGACCGAAGTCCGGGGTGGGGGTAGGAGCAGTGCTCAGCACCTAACAGCCCTCTCCTCAATGCAGCCAACCCAGAATCTTGCATCAGGTGGCTGGAATTGGGCTAAAATCCCTTAAGTTGCCCTTCAGTCTTTAGATTTTATATGTCCCATACTCTGATGTTCTAAGAGGTCTGAGTGTGTCCAAAAACTAGTTAAGTTAGTAACTCAAGGTAGCTAAGGAGGTGACATCAGGGGTATATACACCCTAGGGCAGGGGTGGGCAAACTTTTTGACTCGAGGGCCACAATGGGTTCTTAAACTGGCCCGGAGGGCCGGAACAAAAGCATGGATGGAGTGTTTGTGTGAACTAATATAAATTCAAAGTAAACATCATTACATAAAAGGGTACGGTCTTTTTTTTTTTTTAGTTTTATTCATTTCAAACAGGCCGGATCCGGCCCGCGGGCTGTAGTTTGCCCACGGCTGTCCTAGGGAGTATGAACTTGTTTGGCAGTTTAAAATAAAACAAACTTTATTTTTTTAAAAATATTTTTTTATTGGTTTCAGAGAGGAAGGGAGGAGAGATAGAAACACCAATGATAAGAGAGAACCACCACTGGTTGAGCCCACAACCTGGGCATGTGCCCCTGACCAGAATCGAACCCGAGACCCCTCAGTTTACAGGCTGTAGCTCTACCCACTGAGCCAAACCAACCAGGGCCAAACTTTATTTTTTAAGAACAGTTTTAGATGCACAGAAAAATTGAGAAGATAGTACAGAGAGGTCCCACGTACAGCTCCCCAATTATTAACATCTCATATTGGTATGACACATTTGCTACAATTAATGAACCTATATTGATACATTATCATTAACTAAAGTCCATACTTCATTTCATTTCCTTATTCTTTTTTTTTTCAATCCTCACCTGAGGATATTTTTTCCATTGCTCTTTTTAGACAGGGGAGGGGAGGGGAGTGGGGGTGGGGGAGAGAGAAGCGCCGGTTTCTCATCCAGAGATGTTTCTCATCCCAAAGATTGTCCTAATAGCAATAGCTGTGCATTACAGGTATGGGTTTCCCTTTCCTGTCTGCAGGGCCTCAGCATGCCCCTCTCTGCAGAACTCCCCACCAGCATGGGGATCCCTCCTAATGTGACTGAAAAGGTCTGCCTAGGGCTAGCCTGTAGTGTGTGGGTTCTTGAATTCGTGCAGGAAAAATTTCACGAGTCCAGTGAATTTTAGAGGACGTTTATCAAAGCTGTGGACAATGAAACAAAGAAGGGCTGGGGAAATGCACCTGGGCTGGTCGGCTTTGCCTCACTGAAGTAAAAAAAAAAGGGGGGAGGGAGCTTAGGGACAGGCTCAGCGGGTTTATCTGGAATGGACTGCCACTGCCCATTGCTGCCCTGGTCGCAAGCCTGGTGGGTCCCATAGAGTTTAGGAGATGCACCTGTGGGAAAAGGGGGAGGTGGGCGGGGAGGGACATGGGCTTGCTCCTGGGAGAGAGCACAAAGCACTGGGACCTTTGAGGGGTTTTAAAGGCTGGGAGTTCAGGGATGGTCTTAGGGGAGGATTTCAATAGAACATCCATCAGCTTTATGCTGATGTACCAAAATGAGATTTATTCTCTTAACTTCATCTGTCCTTGGGTGTGGTTGGCAAAACTTCTGTTCCATGGCACCCTTCCCTCCCCACTACACACCACTGGCTACAGAATCGGACTTCTGTCTCCCTGAGTATGGTGATGTAAGCCAGTGGTCGCCAACCTTTCGGACCTCACGGGCCACCTTGGTGACCGCTGATTTAAGCTATTTACTCTCTGGTTGGGGAGAAGTGCAAACCATTTACTCTTATGTGTCCCTGGTTTAGGGAAAGTAGGATTTACTAGATGGCTGTAACTACTTGGCATCTTGATTTTTCTAGATGGCTGCAAACTGCTGTATAACTATCTGGTCTCAGTTTCCCTATTCTGCTTGTCCTGGCTTACTGGCCTGTCTCACTAACATTGTTTGATCCAGGGGAAGGTTTTATGGCAGAGATGCTGGAGTGGACCCATGATTGGGGGTCGCTCTAGTCAAATCCTATGCTGCATCACCCAGGAGCTACAAGCTGGGGGTAGACACATGAACTCAGACCTCAATTTGGCACTGTCTCAAGAATACACTTGAGTGGCGCCAGTCCCAGGGGCAACCTGTCCCTGCACCTCTGGGTTGTGGTTAGAGGTCCTGACCCAGATCCCCACCGAATTCATAACTGGCTGCCCTGGCACGTGGGCTCCTTCAGTCCAGATGCCCCCAGGCCAGGAGGTAGAAGCGAAGTCATACAATAGGGAAGGGACATACAGTATAGGAAAGGATCCAAGTAATGTTGCTGTCTGTGAAATGAACAAAGAAAGCATTCCAGCGGAGAAGGGCTCAGTGACCAGGGCTCAGTCCCGAGGAACGAGGGCGAGGGTATCTGGAGCAGCAGCAATGAGACGTGAGATGCCCACTGCAGCCCCGAGGATAGTCACTGCTTCCCAGGTAAAGGGGCTGTGCTCTAGGAACTGCTCCCTGGGAGATCGCGGGGTAGAAGCGGATGCAGACGACAGTGGGAGGCCTTCCTTGAAGAGGAAGGTGGAGTGGGTTCCTCAAGCGCCCCGGCTCCTTTAGGGGTAGGTCTCAACTCCCGAGGGGTCCACGTCTAACAACCGAGCGACGAATCGGGATGAAACTGACAGCAGCGCTTGCAAAGGCTTTGGCATAGGAGCTGACACGGGATTCGGCAGAACACAAATGCTCAGCATCCCTGCCCAGAGCAGGACCGCAGGCCCAGCGACTGCGCAGACAAGGCGGTGCTTTGGCTCTTTTAAAATCCACCAACCACAGCGATTCGAGGCCACCGCGCTCCACTGATTGGGGCGTTACCGCGCCAATCGGTGGTCCGC